TATCATGTGTTGGCTGGATGAGCTATCCTTTTTTTCTCTTTTTAAATCTTTGTCACAAAGAATAGCTCACTGGGTAAAAAGGATATATTTGGAATTGAATGTGATGCAAAAACCAAAAGGTATTAAATAAAAACCAGAAAATGTTTTTTCAAGTCAAATCATTAACCTAGCATTCAAGGTTCTTTAAAGTCTGGTTCCTCCTTACTTTTCTTTTCATATTTTGTTACATTTTTCCCTTTCACATTCCGGCCAAACTAATGCAAATTGTTCTCTAACTTCTTCATATATCCCTCTCTCAAATCCCTACGAATTTCTGTAAACTGCTTCTCTCACCTTGAATGAACTTCATTTTCAACTCAGAGTATCAAAAGCTTTCCTTTCCTTCAAATTTCAACTCCTTCAAGCATTAGTTGCTCTGCCTCAATGAAGCTTTCCCTAATTTACCCAACTCAATTGGAGTTTGCTCTTATGACATGCACAGCTGAAAAAGGACTAGACTTCATAAGAAAAGTGGCCTGGGTTTGAATCCCATCTCTAACACTGCGTGTCTCTGGGCAAGTCTCCTAACCTCAGTTTCCTCATCTATAATACAGTGATAACGTCAGTAGTACCTACTTCACAGGTGTGTTGTGTAGATCAAGCCTGAAGTATTATAGAAACATCAGATATTATTATTTATGATAATAATGATGATGTTTTCGTCTCTCAGTATAAAACTCAAGGACTGAAAATGTAGCATTATTCACCTCTGAATGTCCAGTGTGCACATTAGCAGGTTTTTAATAATAATAATAATAATAATGATGATAGCTAAATTAAAGTTGCTTTCCTAAGTCAGAATTCAAAAGCATATTAAGCACAATTCAATTTGCTCATAAATTTATTCTGGTACATTAAAGAACAGTTTACTCAGGCAATAACTATTTATTAATTTAATTTACTCTTGATTTTTTTTATTGTAACAAATAGGGTTATAAGTTGCTGAACTTTTAAGACATAGGAAGCATCTTAATTTATCAGGCTGCACGGAAACTTTGAAAACAGAATGTAAAAACTATTCCTATTATAGTAAAAAAGAAAGAAAAATAGGTTACTATGTTTCTAGATATGGTGCATGGTGCTCTGAATTTGGAGTGAAAAAATTCAGGTTCTGAGTCTCAACTCTGTCACTTTCTGATTGTGTCACCTTAGGCCAGTCCCCTAACCTGAGTGTTTCTTCAGAGCAAGTATTATTTCCTCCCTTTACAAAAAAAGCACCACCCTGATTTGCTGTAAACATTAAATGAGATAACATATCCAATGAGATAATGCACACTGAGATGCAAGTAGTGGATAGAGACCCACACCTCAAACAAAAAGACTTGGATTTTCCAAGTCTTACCTCTCACACATCTCAACTTATCGCCCACACCTGGAATGCTCTCCTTCCTTACCTCTACCTCTTAGTTTTCATCAAGACTCAGCACAGAGCCCACTTTCCAAAAGAGGGCCTTCCCCAGTGTTTCCACCAAGGGCCATCTCTTCGGGATTACCTCCCATTTATGGTGTGTGTTTGCTTGCATGTTGTCTTCTCAATTAGAATGTGAGCTCCTGAGCTCAGTAACCAGGATTCTGCTCCTCTTACTTAGCATACTAAGTACTCCTAGTGCTTAGCATACATGGTAGTTAGGGCTTAACAAATTCCAATTGATTAATCTGTGACCCTGGACAAATCACTTAACACAGGCAACTAGGCAACTCTCAAAGGCTATAAAGTTGCAGAATGGGGGAGGGGGTACCTCCAAACTCTCTAATTACAACTCTTGTTTGCCACATGGAATTTTGTCTAAATTGGATCATTTTCAGCTGGTTTTTGCTGTTCCTGAGGTTTCATTTTTTCCATTTTCATCCTCATGAACTTGAAAACTGAAGCTTTGCCCAGATGAAGAGCTTCTATATCCTTCCATGTGCTCATTTATTTCTCAATGGATTGCAGTGTTTCCAAATGCAAACTTGTTCCTTTCACATGCTGCAGAAGAGAAAGCAATCTGAGCAATGGGAGAGAATCAGGCATCAGAGTCTGGGTTACAGAAGGACTCTGTCTCCATCTTACAAGAGATGTGCTTGCCAGGACCAAAGATGGCATGACTCGATCAAACATGTGAAGATGTTTAATAGTACACAGTTTGAAAGGACTTCCCAACAAGTCTTGAATCTACTGAATAGTTTGTAATAAATTTTAAAGGCAGGGACAGTACTCTCATCCCTTATATTTCTGCACAAAGACAATCCAGCATCCAAAAGACCTCCAGCACCACAAAACTGACAACAAAGTTCTTCCTGTTTTTTTCATAACCTATTTCATTTTACTTTCTTCTGTACCTAGAAGGAAAAGAATACTTTGATTCTGAAAAAAATGGCTCACCTCGATCTCTAATAACAAATATCTAAGACATAAAAACCTGTCTTGTTGCATGGTTTATATAATTCTGGGGTAGTAAAAACTGAATGAGGCCTTATCTTGAATATTAGTTGTCACTCCAAATATAAACCAAAATTTTTCATGAAAAAGAACCAAAAAAAAGGGGGCCCTAGAATAAACTGAAATTTTAAAAAAACCTGATTTATGTTTTTACATATCTAAATGGCACCAAAATTCAAGGTAAGATAAGAACACATTTACCAAGAAGTACATCCATTGTCCCAACCCTCCAGAAGCTTATAAACTAACTTGTATTTATTCTAAAAATGTTTAAGTGTATGTCATATGAATAGAGAACAATTGCAGACCATTATTTAAAAGTACACCAGAGTGAATACTAAAAATACAGAAGAATGAGAAGACATAAGATGCAAAGTGAAATATTCAGAAAGGAAAATGACACCTACTACAACAATGTAAATGGAAAGAAAAATGGAAACTGAACACTTTGTAATTTTAATTACCAAGCTTGGCCACAGAGAGCTATGAGAATGCATTTCGGTCCCTTTGCCAAGGTTCAAAATCTATAGGTATTATATACTGTTAGTCTGGACTAATGTGATGGTTAGTTATGCTGAACTGCTTTTTTCCCCCTTTATTCTTTGTCAATATGGATGGCTTTCCAAGTGAGGAGGGAAGAGAAGAACCCTGGGAAATGAAGGTGGTGAAAAAACAAAAGATACCTGAAAAACTTTTAAGTGCATGAGAATACTCTACACACACACACCCCTTAGATAAATTATCCAGAATCCCAATCATTTGAAGGTATTTTTAAGGGACATCTAGGTGATGCCCATAGAGATCCGGCCTGAAGTCAGGAAGAATTATCTTTCTGGGTTCAAATTTGACCTCAAACACTTTCTAACTGTGTGATCCTGGGCAAGTCACTTCATCCCATTTGCCTCAGTTCCTCATCTGTAAAATGAGCTGGAGAAAGAAAGGGCAAACCACTCCAGTAGCTTTGCCAAGAAAACCCCAAATGGGGTCACCAAGATGCCACACCGCCTCAACAATTTTTAAGGAGTTGAGTAGATCTCTGCCTTCGGGACAGGATATGAATTCAGCAAAGTGAAAGTGAAGAATTGCTAATTAGGTAAACATAAGAATAACTGACATTTGTAAAGCACTTTAAAGGTTATAAAGGGCTTTACATATCCATTATCTCATTTTAGCCTCACAAACCACTCAGTGAAGTTGGCACTTCAAGTATCTGGCATTTCCCCACTTTACAGTAAAGGATACCAAAGCAAGAAGGGGTTAAGTGAACTGCCAATGACCACAATAAACTATAAAGGGTCAGAGGCTGAATCAGAACTCGGGATTTCCCGATTCCAATTCCAGCATTCTATCCAAAAGGTCACACTGCCTTCTCCATAAACTATACCATCGACTCTAAATTATTTGTACTAATAGAGAAAAAGCACAAAGAGATTAACCAAAAATGATTTATGTAAATGTGGGAAAAATTTACTTTTAAAATCCAGATTATTCCGTTAAATCCTTAGCAGTCTAAGAAAAACAAAGTATTAAGTTTGCAATCCAAGAACACATGCGAGCTGAACAGCAGAGGTAGCTCAGAGTTGTGCTATAGTGATGGGGAGAAATCAGCAGGGATTAAATATTAACAATAACTTATATTTGCATAGCTCTTCAATTTTCAAGGGGCTTTCTGACACACAAAAAGAAAAGCTGCAAAGTAGCTTATGCATCCACGACCTTCAAGATTTGACTGCAAGATTCAGAAATGAGCTAATTTAGTCAACTTCACTACTAACCTCTTCAGAACCACTAACGAACTCCGACCCAGGATGACTACTAAAATGCCTTATGTTCCTCCACCCCACATAGTTTCAAACCACATGAGATTAGGGGGACCAAATTAACACCTTAAACTTAAAATATAACTGCACGCAAACAAAAATCTCATTCCAAACTCGCTTAATGAGAGAGCTAGAGATCACCTTTCAAAGACTGGCTGTCACCTGAAGAGTGGGGAAGGTAGATATTTACTGAAGACACCAGACATCTCGAACCGAGCTAAATCGCTCCGAAGGGGCTGCCTCGTCGGGGCACAGATCCTCCAAGTGTGGCAGCATCCCTCACAGGGACAAGAAAGTGTCGGCTTCGGGCAAACCCAGTCAGGCGGGGGCACTGCCCACTCTGGGCGGTGAGGATCCCAGGAGGGTTGGGTAGTGAAAGGATCGTCCCTCCCTCGTCCCGTGGGATGCTACGGCATCGCAGGGCGGGGAACACGCGTGGGGAGGCTCCCCTCCTCGCCAACATCGGACACTAACAATAGGGCCCCGGCGGCCTCCCGCGGCCGACACCAAGAAAGATCACCCCCGCCCTGGGAGCTCCTGAACCAGCTTCTCCTCCTCTTCTGGGGCAGTCCTTCCCTCCCCGCGGCCTAGGGCCCCGGAGGCCTGGCCCGGCCTGGCCTCGCCCACCCCACGCAGACTGGCGACCCAGCTCGGGCCTCGAGCCCGCCCGCGCCCCCGCGGCCCAGCCTCGGAGGGGTGCGGGCCCGTCAGCCCCTCACCTGGCAGAAGCTCCGGCAGTAGACGCGCGACGAGCCCTCCGACACTTCCTGCTCGCGAAGTTCCGTCTCCAGCTGCCACAGACGCGACCAGAGGCCCGGGGGCCCCAACGCGGGCGATGCCGGGCGGCAGCTAAGGGCCCCGGCTCCCGACCCGGCCCCGGCCGGGGCTCCAGAGGCAGCGGCGTCTCCCTTCCCGTCCGCCATCTTCCCACGGCCCAGCGGCGCGTAGGCAACCAAGACACGTGACGTGCTCCTCAGCGGCACCGCCCCCTCCCGCTCCCTTCACGGTCCCCGCCCCGGAAAGGCGTTTAGGTTCTGCGACTAAGGGCGCGGGTTCCATGACGTCACGCAGGCGCCTAGGAAAGCCCCAACCTACGAAGACTGCGTGCTCTCCTCCTCTCTCGACCCAAGCCCACGCGGCGCCATGGCAACAAGCAGGGCCACGCCCCTCTTGCACTCCTACTATTCTCCCTTCCGTAGGCGCTCCCTGGAGAATGCTCTGCCTTTCGTTCCCCTACACTGTCCTCTCTACTCCCTCTTCCCCTCTAGCAACAATTTGACCAGTCTCTCCCCTCCTTAGGACTACTCTCGGCCAAGATCTAGCCCTGGCCCCTAGTGGGAAAGCTGAAGAAATGGACCCGCCCATACGCGCAAAGGGGAACCTTGGAAAGGGCTTCTTCACTCTACCGGCCTCGGCAACAATCCTACCTCCTCCCCTAACGAAACCCAGCAACAATATTCGCACTCTAACCCTTCTTCCCCCTTTAGCGATGTGGGAGCGACTTTCCCTAATGACTGTGGCGACATCTGGAGAACTACCCCGCCCCCATCCCCCAGCCGCAGCGCCCCAGTAACGGCCCCTACCCTCCCCCCCATGGCGGCCCCTTAGGAATGGCCTGGCCCCGCTCCCCTTCCCATCATGGCGGCACCCCGCCATGACTCCGCCCCCTCTCCCCCTCCCCGTTCCAGTTCCTCTTGTCAGCCCCGCCCCTTCCCCCCGTCGACGCCCTAGTAATGACCCCGCCCCCTTCATCCTGGAGACGCCCCGCGACGTCTCCGCTTTCCTGTTCCTCGTGGCGTTTCGGGTTACCTGCCCTGTCCCTTGCCCTCCCATAGCGACGCCCTAGTAACAGTCTGGTCCCCTAGTAACAGCCCCGCCTTCTTCCCCGATTAACTACCCCGCGCCCCAGCCCCACCTCCCCAATGATACCCTAAGAGTAGGAAAACACTAGTAACGGCTCCGTCCTCTTCCCCCGGCGCTCTCGTTAACAGCCCCCCCCGCCCCTCCAAGGCGGGG